ACACAGGCCAGGGACGCTGTGGATCTGATTACATGAGACCTTGGCGGTCTCAGGATAACGCTGCCTGTGATAACATCATCCATTGCTGACGCAAACTTCTCTTGACACATGGTCACGTTGTCTACTTCCCTGTCCCTTTGCAAAACTTTGTCCCCCATTCCTAGCCCATCCGCTGGACCCTATTCCTCATGCCACTGCCGCGGGATCAGCTTTTACTGGCCGGCGTGATTTCAATCAATGGAGTGAGAACTTCTGCCAAGCAGCAGCAGAGTCTTGCCTTGCAAACAGCCCCTCATCGTATTCCCGCTGCAGAGATGCAAAAAGTTCCTGTCACAACACCAAAGGGCAGGCTTACTATAAAAGGAGGGAAGAGTGAAGGATGCTTGCATAGACGTATGGGAGCAGAAAGGGACAGATTTGCTAAGAGAGACTTGCTTGGCACAGGCAGCCCTGGGAGGGGAGTTGCTGCCGCTTGCTTTGCAGAGGGAGAGTCAGTGAAGTGCAAGCCTGGCCACAGGTCACGGGTCACGGGTCAGCAGGAGGGCCCTGCCCAGGGAGAATGTTGGGACACAGACAGGGGGAGCAGAGGGCCCTGCCCTGTGCCAAACCAAGCACTGACAAAGTCTTCTCTTTGGGAGGGGCTCATTCCTTTGTGAGGCTAAATTTGTTCATTTTGAATCACTACGCAGCATTTGAAAAGGACAAAGATTTCCTAATAGCCCTCAGTGTCTTTATCCTCTTTCCCTTGGGTGGGGTTCATCCCTCCTAGGGTGTGACCCAGTTGATTTGTAAGGGCCAGCCATTCTCTACAAGGGCCTCCATTTCCATGTACCTGCCTCTGTACTCTTTATAGCAGTCTAACACTCATTCTAGACATTGGCGCCTAAGGATTTTTCATTTCTATAACCGGTTCATGGCTGTGTTAATCACTTCTACCCCCACCTCCAGCTCTCAGCCTTGCCTGAGCCAGGTTTCGAGGTGCCTCCTTTCTAACTTTCCTACTCTTAACCTCCATCATTCTCCTCTTAAACACCCAAAGTTCCCGTTCCCTCGTGGGTAAATGCCCAGCTAAACAGGGTTGGCCCAGAGCAGGGCCACTGAGACCTGTAAGTTTGCTACAAGTCTAAGGCCCCTTCAGGTGGGACCCACAGGAAAGCGGTAGGAGGGGCCAGGAAACCGGAAGGAAAAGAGCAAAGTCCAAACCCAAGTCAAGATCAAGGCCACCATGGTCAGCCTCCCCACAGGTCTCTCACCCACTTCTTTGTCTCTTTCAAGTGTCTCCTTCAAGTCCGCCAAGTCCCTGGTACAAGTCCAAGGCCAAGAAGCCGTGTACCTTCCCCACGAGTCTCTGCTCCGCGTGCCCCCCAGGCCTCCTCTCCCTGCTCTCTACTTTCCTTCCTTTACTCCAGGCCTTCCTTTCCCAAGCCCTTTTTAGCTTCCCCTGGCTGCTCAGCTCCACCCTTCCTGGGGTGGGGCTGGGGAACTGGAACCTCCCCTTTCTGTGGGTGTCACACACTTCTCCTACTAAACCTGTTATATTTTAAAATATAACCACCACCCCCACCCACCACCCCGTGTCTGTGCAAATGTCTTCATCTACTGAAAGGGGAGGCCTGCTGAAACTTTTCTCAGAGGAAACCAACCCCAGGGCCCCACTCATCGAACTCTACATACTCTCTTTGAAACGATGTCAAACACTACTTTTAATGAGACAGACTGAAATTGCCAGTTTAGTCCTGGATCCTTTAAAGCTCTTGGAGACTCTTGGGGAATTCAGGGACCTTGCTTTTCTTGGGGTCCATTTCAACTATGAAAAGGCTCTGCTTTTTCCTTGGGAAATATGAAAAGCAATGCCCATGGATAGTTTAATCTATCAGCAAAGTCTACCCCCTGTACTGTCTTAGTCTCTACATTCACTTCTTCAGCTGCACAGAATTCTCAGCCCCTCTGAGAATTCTGTGGGTGTCAGGGTACCCTCCTCTTGATGTCTCCCCCTCCCTTGACCTCCGTGGTATTGTAACGGGGTCTGCAGAAAAAGGGGAGGTTCCAGGTTCCCTGGCCCATCCAGAAGGAGGGTGGAGCTGAGCAGGGGGGAGAAGAATCTGGAGAGGAGACTGAGGAGGAAGGAAGCAGGATGGAGCCAGAGGAGACCGGAGGGAGCCACATGGAGCAGAGACATGTGAAGAAGAGGCTTTTGCTTCTTCTTGATCCTGGACTGGGTGAAACAGATGTGGGTGAGAGACCTGTGGGGAGGTGACTGTGGCAGTGTTTATATTGATTTTGATTTTGCTCTTTTCTTCCCAGACTTGTCTGGCCATTTCTGACCCTTTTCTATGGGTTCTGGCCAGAAGGTGATTAAGGCTTGTGGGGGCTTTCAGGCCTTGCTTTGGGCCAATCCCTTCTGGGTGGACTTTTACCCATGAGGGCATGGGTAACTTCAGGTGTTTGATTTAGAAACTATATTCTTTGTTTCTTCTGTATTGCACACATATTGTATTAAAGTTCCTTCCCATTAAAGGCCTTATATGTTTTGTCTTGATGCAGCAGATGACAGAACCTATTTAGAGGAGGCAGGTTTGGGTGTTCAGGGGTGCCTCTCTCTCCCTGCCCTGTAACAGTATGGGTGTTCCCCCACATTTCTGATTATTCTGTCTCATTTTCTTTTGGGGACCCCTAGTCACCTGCAAATGTTGGTGTCCCTTGGGTCTTAAGTATGCTCCTTTCTCAGGCTCTCTAGACTAAAGGTCCCCCAACATCTCCAGCTCCGGCTTGTCCTCTGATCTTGGTGTCCAGCTGCCTACTGGACAGTGGACAGTCCCGAGCAGATGCTCCTTAAGCATCTAATAAATCTACAACGAATTCACCATCCCTCCTGCAACCTGCAGTTCCTTCTGGATTACCTGTCTCATGTTGCTGCCCAATCCAGAGCCATCCCAGCTACTCTCCCGCCTTTGGGGAGCTCTGCACCCCACCACCCAAAACTAACTGCTGTGTCACTGCTTCTGCCTCCCCAACGATTCTCAAACCTGTTTTATCCCGATTTCTGTGACTGGCCGCAAGGAAGAAATATGGGGACAGAAAGGTGGAAACCAGTTTATTGCTCCCAGGCAGTGGCTGAGACAGAGCTCCCAAGGGTGGGGTCTGCAGCTACTGTGAGTGCTGTAGGGGGAAGGGTCTCTTATATAGGCTTTAGGTTCCTTTTTTTATTTTATTTTATTTTAATGGAGCTTTACACCTGAATGCAAGGTCTGGTTCCAGTATTGCCCCTCTGATCACCTTCAACAAGACCCACCACCTACTTTCCATTCCAGACCCTCTGCCAGCACTTCCTTGATGACTCCCCAACTCCATTCTCACTCCCTCCATCCAATCTTCATAGGAAGCCTCAGTCATCCAAAACACTTTTTTTTTAAGATTTACTTATTTATTTATGCATACAGAACTGGGGTACAAGCCAGAGGTGCGGGGCAGTGAGAGGTTTCACCAGAGACAGCGGGGAGCAGAACAGGCAGACTGACAAAGTACACTGCTGAGGGGAGCAGTGGGCAAGTCTGGAGAGGTCTGCTGCGCCATGTGGGTCACCTCTGGGGCCAGGGCCAGGGATCAAACTTGAACTGAAGGGCTGTGGCTCGCTTGCTGTTCTGTGTCCTAACCTGTTCAGCCACCAGGAAGGACCCCAAACACTTTTTCAACAAAACCTTGTCCTTCCATGTTTAAGACCCTTCAAGTTCTCCCATCCCTGGCCGCAGCAAGGCTCCTAGCATCTTATCCTCACCTCCCCAGTACTCCTCTATCTCTCCCACTTTCGCAGATGCAATGCCCCAGGCCCAACTGGGCTGTGTCCAGGCCAAGGCCAGTTGGCAGGTTTGTGAAGGCATTGTAAATCCGGTCTAGCAGGCAATACAGCAAAGCCAGGCCACCATCCTCTGCTACCTGAAGATAGAGTCAGTCTTCTCAGGTTGATAAATAAATAAATAAATCAAATAACAATGGACACCCATTCTTGCCTCTCTGCAGTGCATTGGTCGGGTGGGGGTGAGGAAAAAAATAAGTCCTGCATGGTCTGCCTTCTGCATTGGCATAGCTTTAGGGCAGGACAACCTGGAGCTAGACACCTCCACTGTCAACAACAATTACATTCTTAACAGCAGTGACTCACTGCTTCTACCCAACAAACTAAATCCAAACTCTTGTCGACCTGTTAATATGGCTTCCTTTCTCCAGGCCCACATTTTTTCCCCCCTTTAGACTTTTTTTTTATTATATTAGTTTATTTTTACATATTTTTGTGCATTTTCCCCATCTCAGTTGCAATCCCCTTGGGTTTCCCATCACCAAATCACCCATGTACCATCACCATAGTCCAGTGCATTTCCCTCCCCCCACTGTTTTTGATCCCATTCCCCACTCCACCCCCATAAAATGTCTCTGGTATATAGCTGTTCATCATTATCTTTATTTTCTCGTCCAGACCCACATTTAATTCATGTTTCCTTTCACACATGTATTTGGGGCACAGCTCCGTGGACCGCTTTCCCAGAGCGACCTTCATTTGGATGATCTAATAAACTTTGTCTAATTATCCCCGAGAATTTATTGTCAGCTAACAGCTGAAAGGGCAGGATTAGAACTTGGCTCCGACCCGGTCCACCGGTCCAGGCCAGCCTAACACCCTTCTCCACCTTTCCCCTCCTCCACCTTTCAGAAATTTATCCCGGTCTGATCTCTCAGATTCCAACTCCACCCTCCCATCTGGAGGACAAAAAAATCCTGGGATAAGAAAACTTCCAGAGGTTCAGGGCAGGTGTAAGACGCAGGGCCGCTGGGACTAGACACCGGAGGGCGGCGTGGGCGTCTGCGTCCCGGGTTCCCATGCCCAGCCGCCGGCCAGCTGCCCGGGAGTGGGGGGCCTTGTGGGGCCTTGCGCTGGGCTCCTCGCCATGACATCAGCCCTGCAGTGGTGCAGTGTGCAAAGCCCACTGGTTGGCGTGGTCCCGGACACGCCTTCCAGACGCGGAACAAAACCGGGCGCGGGAGGTCCCGCCCAGACGCCGATTCTCAGAGGTTTCCCGCCCGTGCGCCGCCGGAGCCCCCTGCAAGGTGAGTGTGCCCGGGGTTGCTCGCGGGCGCCCCAGGCTCTAGCGCAGCGCCCTGGGTTCTGTCCCGCCTCGCCGCCGCTACCACCAGAGCTGCAAGGAAAGTTGGCGACCAAGTGCCACGGCCAGGGGGCTGTCGCGGGCGGAGAGTCGGAATAAGTGTCCGTCGACCGCCGGGGCGACGCTTTCCTTTCCAGAAGGCACTGGGTCCCACCCAGCCCAGGGCTTCCTGGACACAAATGGACCCCGAGTGACCCTGACTTGAGCGCCGGCACGCACACCCTGCCCCCACTCCCACCCCCACCCCCAGCCCGCAGGACCCACGGCAGAACAATTGACAATTCTGGGACCCAATGATGCGCTTTGTACAGCTGGGGGATGAGGGCATCCGTGCCACCCTGCCGCTAGCTCCTGCTCTGGGCAGCCTGCACGCAGGTGGGGCGTACCAGTTGCCTTTGGGCCAGCCTGAGCGCAGGTGTGTTTTCAAGGAAGAACTAGAAGCTGCCATGGTTCCCCTCCCTCCAGCCCAGGAGTTGGCACTAGATGGGGACATTACTGAAGCCTGAGTGATCCCACAGTGAGTATTGAGTGGCTTCAGCCCTCGACAGCTGGGCAGTAAAAGAGGGCTGGTATTGGGCACACAGAGCATGGGGAGGTATGTTCCCCATCTAGAGGCCTCTGAAGCCGGCGTGTCATCAACTCTAGAATATTCTGTATGCGCTGGCTCCTGTGTTGCTGCAATCCATTCAAATCAGGTTATAGGCTGTGCAAGCGGGTAGCCTCCGGCTTTTCCTTTCCCCACTAAGAGGAACCTGCTATAGAGACCCTGTCATTTGGGGCCAAGAAATCCTCTGAGCTCTAGAAGGAAGTGCATTGTAGAGGCAGCCTGAATCTTGGGGGGCGAGGTTGGATTGACAGACTGAATTTTGCCACTTAATACACAGGCGACGTTGGGCTTGTGACTTAATTAAGTGCTCTCAGTCTTTGGGGGGGCATCCCCTGGAAGTATCTACACACCGTAGATTCTCTTCCCCTTTTGCCCCCATTCTGCGCCCTTCCTCCTAGGAACACGAGGTGCTGGGTGCCGGTCTGTCATTCAGGGTGCAGATTGGGGGTTTCCCGGGGTGGGATTTGGGGGCAGGACTGCTGAGCTTCCCTGCTCTCGCTCAACACCAGCGCTGGAGCCTCTAAGCAGGCTCCGCCCAGGGCCAGCTCCTAGGTCTGAAACACCAGCCTTAAACCCTTAGCTACTAGTGGTAACTTTCGTCATTCCTGTCGGAGCACCCCAGCTTGGCGACGGCAGCCTCAACGCCCATTCTGGGCACTCCGGGAGGATATCCGGGGCAGGGGGCAGTGTAACCGGGAAGAAGGTCGATCCGGAGGAGGGTGTGGCCAGAGGAGGCGCGCCCCGTTGGCTGCCCCCCCACTCCCCACCCCGCTGCAGAGGGTCCGCTAAGGAGCTGGGAGACTGGAGCGCAGCGGGCGATTAGCAGTGAGGGAACGTGAAGGCCGGCCTGCGGCTCTCTGCCGGGTCTTACCCTGGCGCGGCCTTTCCTGGCCCAGGGGTTTGCTTTCTAACTGCAGTTCTGCTTCTTGGCCAGCATGTCTGCCCCGGGCGGGTTGCAGCCTGGGAGTGTGTTGTTGACATTTGGTTGGTGATGGGTAAATATTTGGAAAATGAATAGGGTAGGAAAGGGCTTTTGGCTGAGTTTCTATCCAGGACACTCAGTGACCTTGTGAGTAGTGACCAGCCAGCTTTTCCTTGTGAGTAGAATTGAGGATGGGTTGGGGGAGGCAGGAGAGGGAGGCATAGTTTTTATTCACTGTGGGTCTCCTGGTGGGAAAGCAACTTGGGAAGACTTTCATGGTGGGTTGCTACAGCTTTAAATATTTATGCAAACTGGGCTTATTGTAAAAAGTTGGCCTCCTTCTGCACTGTGGAGAGCCTGGCATTCACGGAGGTGTTAATGAGAGGCCTTAAACAAAGAGGCACTAGTGAGAACGAAGGGACCCTGTCCTCTGAGGCCACTGTTTGTCATGCTTGGCACAAAAGGGACCAGCAAGCACTGGATGACAGGAGGCAGGCATCTCTATGCTGACCCCAACGTGTGGTCCCAGGTGGGTGCCATATTCCCACTTCTCAGATGAGGCACTGAGGCTCACTCAGAGCTGGTAAGTGTCACTTGCTGGGATTACAGCCCCCGCCCTGTGGAGCTCCCCTCAGACAGGCAGGCTGCTCTCCAGCCTCCCCACCCCTGAGTCTTTATCTGTAGTGGCTGCTTGACATTTCCTATTTCTAGATCAACTTGCCAAGGAATGTCTGTCATTTGTGAAACAGGTGAGCTTTGCAGAGAATTGGAGACCATTTAAGGAAGATGGGGCTCTGGAATGTGGGCGGTGGGGGGTGAAGGAGCAGGGCTAGAACTGCATGGCCCAAGAAGAGGGAAGCCCTGGAAGTTAGGGGTCTGATTCCCAGCAAGTCTAATGTGTGTTTGAATTTCAGGGAAGAGAAGCCTGGAAAAGAGCCTGTTTGGGAACCACATGCGCACACACACACACACACACACACACACACATGCATGCAGAGTAGGGGGAGTGGGCAGGGGTATACCGAGTACTGACAAGAGCCATTTTCCAGCCGGTTTCCAGTTGTCAGGGATTTCTGTGGTAATGACGGACAGAGCTACGCAGCTCCCCAGGAATTTGTCTGACGTCAGCATGGAGCAATTCCCATGTATGGTAAAGTGTGTAAATACCGAGGCAGCTAGCCTGTCCAGACACTGGCATTTCCAGTGCTTCCCCAGGCCAAAGGCGGCGTCTGGTCCTTCAAAGTGACACAAGAGGAAGAAATAGAAGGTTTGCAGATGGACACAGGCCCCTCCCCACCAGGCAAGCGGACGCTTCCTGCCTAGTGGGCCTGCAGTTCTTTCTAGAGGGATAGCGTGGGCTGGGCTTCCTGAAAGGTCAGCCGCAGACAACCTGTTTTTATATGGTCTGTAAGCACACTTGGTTTTGCTTTTTAAAAATTAATCAAGGAAAAAGTCCTTACGACCCTTTCAGTCTGAGATAACCAGCTGTTACCATTCCCAGTTGGTATCATTCCAGATTTTACAAAAACATGCAAAGAAACTCCATCTATGAATTAGTCTGTGAATGCTTATTATAACACAAGACTTCCTGGAGTAGCTTAGCAATTCTGAAAAGAAACCATAGGCTCCCATTTCTACCTTTGTGGACCTTCAGGATTCTGAACTCCAAGGGTGGAGAGTTTGCTGGAAAAGGCGTGGGGGGTAGCAGGGAAGGAAGAGCCAGCACCGCCCTTACAATCCCACATGCCAAGAGCCACAGACTCAGGAAGAGAAAAACCCCACCACAGAGAATGAGAGGGCTGAGCTGGAGTGGCAGCCTGGGTCCCCCAGAGCAGAGAAATCATGGCTCAGTGATGCTCACTCACTTCTTGAGTGCTGAGGCGTGTGCAGGTCTCCTAAGAAATCATGTGTTGGGTTATGGGGGGCTGAGACCGAACTTGTGCGCCAAGCCGCCATTTGTCCCTTGCTCTCCATCAATGAACATAACTTTGAGGGCATGTCTGTTTCCTGAGCTTTCAATGTCACCTCTAAGACCTCAACTCTGAACTCTGGCTAGGGCCCTCCTTTTCCACTCCTCGACCGACCTCCAGATGTGGGGGTATGGAGGAAGAGGCTGAGTTGTGGGTTGGAAAGGATGGCAGCTCTCCTGAATACCTGGCTAGGTTCCAGCCCAGGTAATGCTAGCAGCACATTTCCAGTGGCGCACCTGACAGGTCTCTACCAGACCCAGTGGGTTGGTACCGGAGCTCTGTGCTCAGCAAGCACTCTTTGGCCCTGAGGAACAAGAGATTTGAGAATGGCAGATGGGATGTTTCCAGTGGAGCAATAAGGACGTGGTGTCAGTGGCTCATCAAGTAAGTGGTTTGATAAGAGGGGGCTCTCCATCAAGCACCGGTCCTAAAATTACATGTTTCTAAAGTGGCTTTAAAAAAAAAAAGATTTATTGATACATTACAAGAACTGGAGTAACAGGCCAGAGGTGCGGGGTGAGGGGAGAGTGGACTCACCAGAGACAGAGTGGGGAAAAGAACAGGCGGATTGATTGAGGTACACTGCTGAGGGGAGCAGTAGGCCGGACAGGAGAGGTCTGCTGCGCCATGTGGGTCACCTCCGTGGCTGGGGATCGAACTCACATCCAGTGGCTGTGGACAGCTATGTTTGCACCACCAGGGAGGGCCCTAAAGTGGCTTCTTAAACTTAACTATACTGGACCCATAATCTCGGCTCGGCGTCTGCGCGCTGTCTTCTCCAGCCTCTGCTGGGCTCAGGCTGCCATCTTGGATCTGTCCTCTCAAAATTGAGGGTCTGGATACAACTCTTCATGGGACAGTTGTTTCGTGAAGTGTGGGCAGTAAAAACTCAAGCGAGGTGCTTCTCACAGGAAGCAATCTTTTTTTTCTTTTTGGAGGGAACAATTTTATTTTATTTACTTATTTCTTCATTTAAGTAATATTGCATTATAATACGAGACCAATCTTTGACTTCTGATTTCCAGCCAGTCCCGAGAATTTCTGACTTTTTAGGAAAATAGCCAACCCAATACATTCAGCAGAAAACTCCAGCTGTTGAGGTCATCAAAGAACAAGTGGGACATGGACAATTTCCAGTGTGAATGGCACTCTGAAGGAACCATTGCAGCTCCGGGGTGGACAGCGTGATAACGAGGACAGTAGAATGCCCTGGTCACTCAGAGCAACATACAAGCAAGTCTTGTATCTCAGGTAGCCTGGGGGCATTAACCGCAAGGGCAAGTCCCCGGTCCCAGACTCAGGATGACAGATAAGTCAGGAATCCCTGATCCTTATTTGGTAGGTTGCTTTTCAAGGCTTGCTCCTTCCAAGTGTGGACTAGCTGGGAAGAAGAGTAGACATCTGGCCCCGCATCTGGCAGGATGATGTTAAGACATGGCTGGGCCCGTCTTGTTAGTGCTTCTCAGAGGAATGAGCAGTGTGCCAAGACTTCATAGATCCTCATTTAATCGTCTGAACAGCTTTCAGGAAATCTTTGCGTGTTCCAGCTTAGAGACAAGCAGATCGAAGCTCAGAGAAGAAAGGAGCTTGCCCGAGGTCATCCATCTAGGGAGGGGTGACTCCAGACCCCACTTTCCTGCGGGAGAACCACTGACTTCTGACCTCAGGAACGAGTCTCCCTTCAGTGTTAGGCAGGGCCCCTGTTCTCCAGAACTGGAAAGGCAATTAAGGAGCCAGGCATCCCTCTCTACACTCCAGGAGCTCAGAAACAGGTTTCCTTTTAAGGCAATTCAGCATCTCCTAGGCAGTCTGCCTGCCGAATTTGGCTGTTGAGAAGAGGGGGCTGGGCAGAAAGGAGAAGGAGGTAACTGGGGCTTCCTCCAGCTGAGACATCTCCCCACAGGCAGGGTTCACCCAGGGGGTCTTCATGCGGATAGAGGAAATGGGGTCCCCTGCCTGGGACCCTTCCGATTGGGGCACAGTCATGGCTTCCATCCAGAGGTGCTGGGGCCCTCGTCTGAGCTCCCAAAGGGACACCCCCAACCAAGCTGCAGCCTGTAAAGAATTGGCCCAATCAGAGGGCAGCTTTTCCTCCCTGGCAGCGCCTTGGGTTTCACCCTTTCTCCGCCCATGTTCCTGCTTCCCTGGGGCCTGCTGGATGCGGCAGGGAGCCAGGGAGAACAAGGGAGGCCTGTCCGGAGCTATGGGGCTCCCCCAGTGGGAGAAGAGGACTTTTGTGTCTGGGAACAAAACACGGCTTGGGACGGGCTCCCAACAGCGAGGTGAGGGCAACTTTCTCCCTTAGGGGTATTCCTAGGGACACGCCTGCCCCTCTGGTCTGGGGTTGGGAAGGCAGGGGAGGGCCACCATGACATACCGTTGTCCTCCGTGTGAGGCGCTCTGACACACAGCCCTGTGACAGCCTGGCAATTGGGGTGAGGACACAGATGAATGACCGTCATTGGAACCCCGATCTGTCTCTTCTAGCTCAGTGATGGCAAGCGAGTGGCTTGACCTCCCTAATTCCTCTTTCCTTATCTGCAGAGTGGCCATTTATTGTTCACATCCAGGTCATGGGAATGGAATGGAATGTGTGAAAGGGTTCGAGGCGCAGCACTTGATGGTCCTCTGTCCAGGGACCCCATCCCGGCCCTCATCAGAAGCAGAGTAGAGCCATAAGAATGGGCATATTTACCCCAGAAGGTCCCATGCAGGGCCCCCAGGACATCTGAAGACCATGAGCTGCCTGTGACAGGAGACTGGGCAGACTCGGATGGCCAGACTCAGCCCTGGGAGCTGAGGGTGGGGTCCTCAAATGGCCCTGTGGAGGGGCGGCTGCCAGAATAGAATCAGGGATCTGGAGCAAGGAAGGAAGAGGAGGATGAAGTGGTTGGTTAGTGGGTCACATCCTGTGGATTTGCCACCCTGAGTTCTTGCTCACAAGCAGAAGCCTCTGGAGTTCTTGGGCACCAGGGGCCTGACCCTGTAATCTGAGGAAACACAGCACTCACAAACAATGAGAGAAACCTTATCTGCGGGTATTGCCATCATGTGTGTGGACCTGAGGAGCCCGGAGCCTGGAAAGGGGAGGCTGCCTCTGGCCTGGGCCACTGTGGCCGGTTAGACCCCCATGGGAGAGGACCGCAGCCCAGCTTGGCCCACTGCCTCGTCACAGTCTCCCAGGGTGGCCTCCCAGCTCCGTGCTTGGACACTAAGGGTGACAGGACCCTCGCTGGCATCCTGGGGGCTGAACCCTGATGGTGTGTGAGGTGGGGAAACAGGAGCAGATGGAAAATTACTGCGATAGTGGTGGGGATTCCCCAGGCGAGCGCTTTCGTTCTCAGGCTTCTCAGGCCTGGGAGTCAAGGGTGGTTTCTGGATGGGAAGCGATACAAAAAAGACCTGGCTGCTCAGTAGGGGGTAGGTTGGGAAGGGGATTCCAGAAGCTGTGTGACCCTAGTAGTTGTCTCTGGGGATGCGTTCTCTTGTACAGTAATTGGCTGTCACAGTGAAGGGGATTTATTGGTTTGTTTAACTGGAAAATGTAGCGATAGATTGAACTTCAGTTGGAGCTTAATTCTGTGGCTGGCTGATGTGATTAAAGATTCCTTCTCTTCTGCCTCTTGGCCCTGTCTCCCCACTTGTGGCTTAGTCCAGGGATGCCTGGCTCTCTCTGGACGACTCCAGAATTCTCTTCTCCTTCAGGGGAAAAATGTGTTTGCCTCCAGCTGACACCCTCAGAAGATCCCGACTGTTTCTTCTCCAGAGCCTCCAGAACTCCCCTCCTCATCTCATGATTTGAATTATGCCCTTAAACTCGGGCTGATTAGGTTAGGCCTAGGCATATGCCATGTTGAATATTGGGGGGCCCACGAGAAAAGGTTGATGGTAGCATGGAATTCAAGGGAGCAGGCGTGGGACTGGCTTAAGAGTGATGGTGATGGATTAGGGGGAAGAGGAAGGAGAGGGGACAGTCTAAAGAGCTTGCACCTGGTTTTGGGGTGAAGGGATGGATAAAGGGAAGCATAGAGTGGGCGGCAGCTCAGGGGGATGGGGAGAGCATATCATTGCTCTAAGGCTTGAGATAAGATTCCTTAGGGATGGAATTTTTGCCACAAACAAAAATAGAGAAGTCAGAAAAAATGAAACAAACAAAAAAACCCCAAGTTTGAGAACAAAGCCAATGAGTTTGGGTCACTCGTATTGAAGTTGAGATACCCGTAGACCATCCAGGTGGGCTTGCTCACCGGGGTGGATGAACCTGTGCTCAGAGAGGGGGCCACGGTCAGAGGTACATGGAAGCCTTAGGCATGGAGGACCTTAGGCATGCCTGCACTGCAGGCACCAGGGGGCATAGGAGATTGGGGGAGACAGGGAGCAGGGTAGAACCCCAACTTTTAGGAGTGGGAGGACAAAGTGAACAGAATGAAGAACGTGCCTAGTTCCTCCACTTTGACAAAGCCTCTGAGACACAGCAAGATCGCTGGGGTTCCAGCCCATCACTCCTTTCCCACCACCCCATCGCCCTTTCTCAGCCTACACACCCCCATTGAACCCCTCTGCGTGTCCTAGGCTATGGAGCTACACAATGTAGACAGCGTGAACCTGGCTGTGCCTTTCAGTGTTGGGGCACCCTGTGTGCACCCTTCAGCGTTTGGTGAACGGTTGTATGAACACGCGCCGTGAGCACACGGGGTCCCTCTGCTTGAGCCGAGGCCCGTGTCCACCCTTGTGACCCAGCAGGCTCTGAAGCCTGAGGTCTGGGCCTTGTTTGCCTGCCTCTGCCCCTTGATCTTTTTTTCTGCCTCTTGGCTTTTAACTTTTAGGTGAGGTGTATCTTATGTACAAGAGACAGTAGAAAGCCTGGGCATATCCTTTAGGAATAACTGTGAAATGAGCCCTGGGTGATGACCGCTGGTTAAGTGAAAGCACACTGCCCCCGGCCACGCTCACGGCATCGGCCTGCTCTCCCTCCTGGCAGGTGACAGTTGCTGTTGTCCCACCTTTGCGCTTTCTATCACTGTTCCCCTGTGCGGTCGAACCTTCCACAATGGTCTGCTTTGCCCACCTACGAAGAGCCACACCCCTGCCCCTGCCCAGGCCTTTCGCTTCAGTGCATTCCTTAGTGCACCTAGCATGGGGCTGAGAAGCTGCACCCCCAATGTCAGTCTGCCTGGGGAAGGAACCCTCAGAATAGGGCCCTGAAGAGACTGTGGGCAGCAAGCCAGAGGAAGTACCTCTCAGAGGTGGGACCCTCTGGGGCTGTGGCTCTGCCTTTCTTTCCTTCCCAGCCGCTGATGGATGCGCTTCTGTCCTGGACAATCTGTTTCCACCTCCCTGGAGCAGTAATGCCCATTTCTGTTCCTTTTCAGAATGCCGAACTGGGGAGGAGGCAAGAAGTGTGGGGTGTGCCAGAAGACGGTTTACTTTGCTGAGGAGGTTCAGTGCGAAGGCAACAGCTTCCACAAATCCTGCTTCCTGTGCAGTGAGTGTGGGGCTCGGGTCTGCTGTTGCCGAGGGGACGGGGACCTGGGCCTGCCCCCACAGGCTGGGCCTGTCAACACCCCAGGAACTGGTCCCGGGGGATATAAACAGCCTGACATTTGGCTGAAGCGCAGCTGGGGAGGGAAACACTTAAGGGCCTCTTTGTTCCGCTCAGAAGCCGCTTCTTCTAAGGAGATGAACTGGCCAGGGGGGGGGGGGGGGGGGTGGCGGGTGTTTGGTGGCTGAGAGCCAAGTTGTAAAGACTTGGTTAGGAAAACTTTCCACTCCCTTTTCTCTTCTTTCTCTCCCTGCCACAATCCCCTCATTTAAGAGGAAGACACGTTTAGCCCAATGTTTTACCAGCATTTGGAACCAGATTATCCCCCTGGAATGGCAACTAAGGTTGTGGCCTTCTGGGTAGCTGGGTCTGGAGGAGAAGCTGGGTTCTCCATTCTCTCTTCACTTCCCATTCCCACTTGCTGCCTGAGCTAGAAGCAAGTGGCCGGGGAGGCTCTTTGACGTCCTCGCCTAGCCCCGAGCAAGACTTGCTCCAAGCCTGGGTGAGCAGGAAAGCAGCAGACCCCAGGCCTGGGAGCCCCAGGTGGCCCGGGGTCCTGACACCGCCCCCCAACCTGCTGACTGGTGCTGTGCTGGGATGTGTGAGAGCAGTGTTCCCTCGGGGTACCCAGGAGGTTTGGTCCATTGTGACCAGAGCAGAGGACCTGGGGTGGAGGAAGAGAAACTGCAGCAAGACCTCTCTTCCCTGAGGGCGGGGCTGGGTCTGCAATCAGTTTTTACTCTCTGTGCCATAATAGGCAAATGATTAGTTTCTCTTGTGATTTTCTCATTCTTACATGGCAGAAAACACTTACCGCATGGGGCTGTTGGGAGAATTAGAAGGGGAGCCTGGAAAACAAATAAAGTAGCTAGGTACTACACACATATACACACACACGCACAGCAGGTGTTACATACCAGCCATGCATACTCCATACATGCACAGAACACACAGGCAGATTCATCTCCCGCAGCACCACAGACACCCCTCACACACATCACCCCCCCCATATAGATCCCCTCCCTACACACACACAATGTTGAAGAGTCTATGAGCAAGATGCTGTGATATGAAGGCTGAAGCTCCCACCCATCTGAGAGACCGGGCAGGGGGGCCCCCCCATCCCGCATCAGCTGGGAGCACCTGGTGGCTTTGTCCCAGGTGACTCATGCTCTAGGTCAGAACACAGGTGGGTCAAGGGCTACCCTCCCTTGCATGTTCACCAGAACTCTACCTGTTGTGGTGGACAAACCAGCATGGTGCCTGGGCCCCCAGACCCCACCAGGCAGTGAGGTCACATGAGATGCTGGGGAGCACTGAGCTCACAGAGCCCCAGCCCGGGAATCAGCGCCCACAGCAGCATCCTGTAATTAGCAGTTCACTACACTTAGCAATATTTTCCAGAGGGAATGAAGTCTTGGCAGTGTCTGGGAAGAGGATCCATGTGGGGTCCTTAGGGCCCTTCTTTGCTCTCAAATGTTGCTTAATCATGGATTAAAAGGGCCCAGCATGGCCCAGCGGCATCCTGTCTGCTGTGGGCTGCAGAGGACAGGCTGTTGGCCAGGCAGCAGGGGAAGCCAGGAATTCAGGGGGTGAAATAGGAAGGAAGGAATGGGCCTGGGTCGGTGTGAGACAGTGCTGCGGATTAGAAACAGTTGTAGAAAGTTCGGCTGGGGGCATTGGAGGAGAGGGCTGGGTGTTGTGAAACCGGCAGCATGAGGAGCTGTGTCTGGATGCAGGACTGTGGAGTTCTTGGGCATCAGAGGACCCAGCAAAGCCAGGCATCGCCCAGCATGCTTTTCCCGGGTGCCTAAAGCAGCATGAACACACAGTAGGGCCTCTCTTCTCTTTTCCCGTGAAGCGTGCTGTGTGTTTAGTTTGACTTCTAGAGTTTAGAATAATCCCCAGAATCAAAGGCCTTTCCCTCCACAGGAAGAGAAAGACCAGCAGGGTTTAGGCCTAGAGACCATTTAGCGCCATAGGCCCTGGAGGGGCAGGGCCTGGTGGATCTCCAAAAGAATCTGACCATTCCTTGATTCTGGATTCCTCTCAGCTGGGCACCCATGTTCTCTCTGGAGGGGCTGGGACACACAGGGGAAGTCAGAGGAGGCGCCTGGGCGTGGTGTCTGAGCCGGAAGCAGGGACTGATAGGCACTGTGGCCCCAGAGGCAGCCAGTTCCCATTCGCAGGCAGGAGGCCCAGCTCTGTAGTGGGGGCCTGCCTCACGCCATTGCCCTGGTCCTGGGGCAGGTTGGGAAGAACACCCAGGCCCGGGAAAGCACAGCTGCTCTGGCCAGTCCCACCCAGAGTAGCCGCCAGAGGCACAGGACATGAGCACAGCATGGCTCACTACGATGCTGCCCACCCGCTGATACCAGTGACTCCTTGCCTGCAAGCTGGAGTTTCCTGTCACCCTCTTCTGGCCCCACACGCTCCACCTACCTGAAAGGCACTGGAGGCTGGCAGAAAATAAACAGGTGTGGTCCTCAGGGCTGGGACCTGGCCTGACCTCGCTTCTGGCCAGTGCGATGGGCTTGAACATTTCTTGTGAGCCTTGGTTTTCATTCTAGAAGCGGAGAGAATCCATCTCTCCCACCTCTCACCTGGGCTGCCATTTCCTTGTATTTCCTAACAGCATCCCAAAGCCGCACAGGTAGCATCTGGAAGTATGTTTTTTTTTCTAATAAATACACATCACTAGTTTGTAGCTAAGATTTGGTAGAAATTTATTTAGATCTGCAAATAAATTTACCTTACCTGAGTCTTCGAGAATAGAGGTGACCAGACTACAGCACCCAGGACAGAGGACCCGGGTGGGTGTTGCAGGTGGGTCCCAGTAGGCAGGATGGGGCCAACAGAGGGATCTTGACATAGTGACTGGAAGTTGAGTCAGGGCTCAGTCAGCATGACAGGAGCCCTCAGAAGGGGTCTCCTCTGGGTTGAACTTCTTGACCTCTTACTGGGGAAATTGCTCAAAAAAGGACTTGGTTCCTTCAATGGCCCTTGCCTGGGCTTTCTGCTTGCCTCCTGGTCCTGGAATTTCCAGTTCAACTGGGGTCTTACAGGAAGCAATTCGAGGCCAGCTTCTACTTCCCACCCTAGAAGGGAATGTTGGAGTCCTGGCCTGTTGTTCTCTCTTGCTCCTTCCCGGGCGCCAAGCCTCAGGGGAGGCCGTGGGAAGTTCCATATTTGGGCTGCCCAGAGTACTGGAATGAGGTGGGGACCTCAAGGGAAGGACAGGAGGGTCCTTATTTAGTCTGAGTCTCTAACCTGGCACTGGTATGAGAGAGGAGCTGATGGAGGGCTTGACCCTATAAAGGCAAGAGGGTATCAGGCCTCCCTGTTGGCCTCGGGATTAAGTCTCCATGCTACGACCCTGAAGGCCCACCCAGATGGCCTGAGTTCCATCCCCGACCTCGGAGATGACCCACATGGCGCAACAGACCTCTCCTGTCCCCTCTCTGTTCCCTTCAGCATGTATTTCAATACATATGCCTGTTCTGATCCCCTCTCTGTCTTTGGAGAATCCTCTCACCCCCCCCCCCATACCTCTGACCTACACCCTAGTTCTCTTATGCAAATAAAATAAATAAAAATCTTACAATAAAGGAGGAATTCTTAAAAAAATAAAAGAGAGAGAGAATGGCAAGTTGCAAGGAGCTGAGCCGACAGCCTAGTCAGGGAAGGGAGAGTGGCTTCTGCACTGGTTTCCATCTTCAGAAGGTGTTTTTGGGGTGACGGTCCACTTGGGTGCACTGGATCAGAGTTCAGAAAACAGCATAGCCCCAAACTATAATTCTAGGATGAGACCTAAAGAAATAAAGAGCTGAGAGAAGTGGAGGGAGCTTGGAGGCATGTGATTTGCTGATCTTACATATGATACACTACGAGCAGCCAATGCTGATTATGTGCCGCTGTGTGAGGGCCTTGTGCTAAGTCCATCAAATGTTGGATATAATGTAACTCTCACACCCACCTTTTGAGGTAGGTTATTATCTGTGTTGACAAATGGGGACACTGAGGCTAAAAGGAAAAATAATTGGCCCAATTATTTTGATCACACAGATCACACAGCTGGTGGGGCGGAGTGTGGGGGGAGGTTGGGGTTTCACTCTGGGTGGTCTGACTCCCCCGGACCACAGGAACTGTTTAACTCTGAACAGCTGGGCACAGCTCTCCTCTAAGATGAACCTGGAGATAAAGAAGTTCCTCCTCCCCACCCCCCACTTTCTAAAGCATTCCAGTCCTAACTCACCCCGTTCTAGTCTTTCCTTCACAGGAGTCAGGACATTCTTCCCTGTTTCTTCAATTTAAGGCACAGTGATTTTTGAGACTAGAAACTTTGAATCTTGGGGACTCCCTGGTGACACAGGGTTAAGGTCTCAGTGTTGTCAAGCTATGGCCAGCCACTGCGGCAGGAGTTTGAGCCCCAACCAGGGAGCTGACCCACATGACACGGCAGACCTCTCCCATCTCTCCCGCTGCCCCCGTCAGCAGTGTATTTCAGTGGATTTGCCTATTCTGCTCCCC